CTCTTTTTTTTTCGTCTCTCTCTCTTTTTTTTTCGTCTCTCTCTCTTTTTTTTTCGTCTCTCTCTTTTTCTCTTTCTCGCTCGGCGTCGGAGCCCTTATTGTGCACTGTGGTGCAATTACAAAAAATTAAATGCAGCCGCGTGTGAAGTGACAACATGCACCTTAAAATTATCCCGAAAATCAGGACGAGTGTGTTTAACCTACGTATTAAGGATCCGGCAGACGTCACACCCTCGTGTGGATGTCTAACCCATAAAAATTGTTCGCCCTTAGCGGTGCCTGAATGGTCCTGTATATGGCATTGCCTTTACGATCGCAGCTCGTAATGCGGTTCATTGCGTTCAGACAGTTAGTGAGAGGTTTCTCAAGTTCTTTCCTCTGATTCTGTACATAAAACTGATTGCGAAATTATCAAATCACAACCATTCAAAAAAGAGTTCGAACCGAACACGGTAATAAAGTGTAGGTAAAGGTAAAAAATACAGAAAATTTAAAAAATAAAATGCTAGGTGAGACTTTACTGAATGCAATGCATTTTTTACAAAATTTCGAACGTCTACGAACGCAAACAATGGCGCGCGTCTTAATAAATTTTATGCCTTTTGACAGCTATGTGCGAAAAATTTTCTTTGGTGCTGTTTTGAACTCCCAGAACTCAAGGGAATTTATATATAGATCATACATTTTTTTCGGGATAGTAGAGCTGAGGTCGCGCGAGCTGCGAACTAGTTTCATGCAGGGGCTCTGGATTGTTGACCAGCCCCTGGGAGAGCATTCTGGGTCGCTGGCCGCCCTCGTATAAGGCACTGCCCTCGAGCCGCGAGCTCTTTCGCTTTGCGACCTCGCGCAGCTGTCGCCGCACGCCGCTTGACCACGACTACCCGGCCATTCCAGGTAATACAGCATTTTAACCATCTATGCGCCTGACTTCGGCCATGCCACATGCACACCTTCCATTCCTTCGCCGTCTCGCGTTGCGATAGTGCGAATGCGACGCCTGAGCGACCAATTTATACTTTTTGCACCATTTAAAATATAAAGACCCTGCAGGAGGGGTCGATATTCCTGCACGGGAATTCACTTTTTGAGTTTCTGCCACGTAGTGTTGAGTTTCCCCTGAGCTTCGGAAGCCGGTAACGGAAGAACTAAGACCAGAGGTGGTTCATTATATTGTTTACAGGTTCTCACAACACCAAAAAAATTGAACAAAGTAGGATATACCCTTCGTTATTACAATATCATTAATAGTATGACTTTTTTCTGCTCTTGTTTTTAAAATTTCCATACAAATATTACATTGACGGACTGATTTGAATACGTTGCTGCTTAAGTTTTCGGAACGCCTCGCTCAGACGACGTTCCAGAAGGACCATCAGGTACCACAAGACTTCGCTCCTGATTTTTCTTCGGATCATGTTCACACTTCGGCGTGTACTCCGCTTAGCGCAGCACTGATTGGGTTGTCGCGTCACCAAACTCAGTCGGTCTCCCTCGTCAGTAAACCAGTGTGCCCGAAACGATACTCAGACGTTTTTCATCTGATGTGGTGACTGCCGACATAAAATAAGTGTACAAATGTGTTTAATCTCTCGGCTTCGAACAATGTGTTAGTTTGTCCGTGCTTCCTGGTATTCAATTATTTCAATCGAGAAACTTGGTTCCGATCACCCTCTTCTGAACATTGAAGAAACTATGTAATCAGCAAAACAAAAGTTTCATCTACGATTCAATGCTTCGACATGCAAGTGATTACGTGACTGTGAGGGGAAAATGAACTATTTTGTTTTCTTTGCGTTTTAAATAGCATGGAGAAACATGCGTAGACGAAGACTGGTTATAGTGGCATCAACCACTTGAGTGAGAACCTTAAACACTCATCCCATAAAAACGGTAATGTTAAACTTTAAACGTTTTACTTAAACATTATTTGGCTTAGCGACAGTTATCCTCTCACTGTGAAACAACGATAAACGTCATAAGAACAGACATTCTGGACACTTATAAACTGTCAAATTTTGTAGTGCGAAAGCTCAGCTTTTGTTAATAAAGTACAACGAAAGTGAAGTGGAGTCTGAAGATTGAGAAAGTTTAATCCTGGGTTCGGACCTCAGCCGGGTGAAATTGACATCAGATAACATAAGGTAGAGGGAGTACATTACGGTGAGCAGATACCCAATTTGGGAACACCAGGATCAGTGCTGGTGGACATATTCTCAGACTAGTGAGAGAAGGGAGTAGTTTAGTTATTGTGCAAGTCTAAATTTCTATTTGTACGATACTTTAACAGATTTAACGTTACCTTCACTAACATCAGGGTTTGATTTATACAATTTTAGGTCCCGGAACGCGCCCCAAAGTAATTATTAATTTAAGAAAGATACTTATACTTTTACAATATTTAATAATTATTCTCGAAGAATCTGAACGTCGTATCGCATTCCACTACAAATAAAGCTCTAACAAACGTGTACTTTAACCCAACGTAACTATACCTCATTACTCAAGTTTCTTTACACATTTGAGATCGCGCCAATCCTTTGACCTTCGGCCTTAACGATTTGCAACCCACCTCGAGTCTCTGTAATATTATTTTCAACTAATATTTATACCGAAATACAATTTGCGAACAAATCGGCCACTCAGAACATTAGCCATATTTCGGACAATAGCCATTACATACAAATTCCAAATGTTAAATGCTACGAAATGTAGACTGGTCTTGTAACTAAGTACTTAAACATAAATCATCTATTTCCACAGGCTCAACTGGCACTTGCGGATAGAAACAGAATCTGCCGTCTTCGGCACGGACTTCTGGAAATGAGCGCATGCATGGACGATGTTCGATCTAGTTTTGATAAACTCCAACGCACCTTCCCGGACCATAGCGACCTTCGGCCTCCGCCTGGCTCATCGGATGCGCTCAATCCTCCAGCCCAGAACTACTTGCCTGCACAGCAATACCACCCAGATCGACACGATTCTCCAGCCCAGAACTACTTGTCTGCACAGCAATACCACCCAGATCGACACGATTCTCCAGCCCAGACCTACTTGCCTGCACTGCAATACCACTCGGATGGACTCGATTCTCCAGCCCAGAACTACTTGCCTGCACTGCAATACCATCCGGATCGGCTCGATCGTCCAGCGCAGAACTACTTGCCTGCACTGCAATACCATCCGGATCGGTTTGACTTACTAGCTCAGTATAATGATCAGCCTCTGTATCGCCTTACTACACCCCATGATCATCTGGTTCAAAATCCCCTTCCGGATCATGTCGGCATTTCACTTCAGGGCTCCTTTCCGGGTCATGTCGACATTTCACTTCAGGGCCCCCTTACGGATCATGTCGACATTTCACTTCAGAGCCCCCTTCCGGATCATGCCGACATTCCACATCAGGCTCCCCTTCCGGGTCATATCGGCATTCCCCCTCATGACCGCTTTCTGCGTCATGTCGACATTCCCCCTCATTACCACTTTCCGGGTCATGTCGACATTGCCCCTCAGGGCCACCTTCCACGTCATGAAGACCTTGCCGCTCAGGGCCACCTTCCACGTCATGAAGACCTTGCCGCTCAGGGCCACTTCCGCGTCATAAGACCTTGCCGCTCAGGGCCACCCTTCCGCGTCATAAAGACCTTCCGCTCAGAGGCACCTTCCGCGTCATGAAGACCTTCCGCCTCAGGGCACTTCCGCACGTCATGAAACCTTGCCGCTTCAGGGCCACCTTCCGCGTCATGAAGACCTTGCCGCTCAGGGCCACCTTCCGCGTCATGAGACCTTGCCGCTCAGGCCACCTTCCGCGTCCAATGAAGGACCTTGCCGTCTCAGGCCACCTTCCGCGTCATGAAGGACCTTGCGCTCAGAGCCACCTCCGCGTCATGAAGCCTTGCCGCTCAGGAGCCCACCTTCCACTCATGAAGACCTTGCCGCTCAGGGCCGCCTCCCGCGTCATGAAGACCTTGCCCCTCAGGGCCGCCTCCCGCGTCATGAAGACCTTGCCCCTCAGGCCAGCCTCCCGCGTCATGTCGAGATTGCCCCTCAGGCCAGCCTTCCAGCGAATCTTACCTTTGAAGCTGAGAACCGCCGTCCGGATCAACGTCAAATTCCAGCTCCGACCCGCCTTCCTGCTCGCCGCCACTCTCAGAATTACCTCCATATTCCGGGTTACCTCCGCATTCGCGCTTCCCTCCTTACTCCGGAACGCCGCGCGGTGCAACAGGGCCGTCCGGCTCAGCCAGGTCGTCCGGCTCAGCCAGGCCGACCAGCTCAGATCAACATCCAAGATTATCGCAACTTCCAGGCTCAGCGCAACTTCCAGGGTCATATCGTCCTTCGAGCTCCGCGCAACCTCCATGCTCAGGTCGTCCTTCCAGCTCCACGTAACCTCCAGGCTCGGGTCGATCAACCCGCTGCGCACCCCGCTGCGGATGAGGACGCTCAACATTCTTCACGTGCTCTCAGCGTCCGACAGTCGGCTGTCTTTTATCGCCCAGCAAGCTCACACTCCCAGCAGGCTCACGGCTCCCAGCAGGCTCACGGCTCCCAGCAAGCTCACGGCTCCCAGCAGGCTCACGGCTCCCAGCAGGCTCACGGCTCCCAGCAGGCTCACGGCTCCCAGCAGGCTCACACGAGTGACCGCGACGGCGAAGGCCAATAGTGTCGAGTGTTTTTTTGTCCCAAGAGATTAAGAATAATACCAATTTTAAAATGGGCGATGGAGGTTAAAATGGTACATTATTATTGAAGTAATGTGATGGTGACTGTTTTTCGGTGACGGCCCGTGGGCCGTCTTTTAGTTTGTATAAGTAAGTTATTCTTCATTGCAATACTTTTTAACTGCCCATATTTCTATTTAAAAACTTACAAAAAAAGATCATTTTTATGTAAACTAAATTTCCTGTAAACTTAATTTAAGAAAAGATGCAAAATAAAATAAAATAAAAAAATTAAATAGCTTCATTATTCTATTTATTCCTGCAAATTTTAATTAAATTTGGGCAGTGTCCTTTGCGTAATTCTATATTTTTGAAGTTTCATTTCTTACTTCACAGTAATGGTTCAATGATACTATTGAACAATTATATTTGACATATACTTAGCACCAATTTATATTAATGTTTGTGGCATTTTTCCCAAGTTAGTACTTAATTTCCAATTTCATTTTTAATTTTCTGTTAATTTTACAAGTAATGAACATTGATTACAGACCATCAACAAAAGATTCTAACTCTCTGAAATTAATACATGAAATATTTTAAAACATGACACTAGTCATGACAAATTCGTTTGGCCGTCTCTTATTTCATGAGTCAAAGTATAGTCTCGCTTCTGGAGACAGCTCAGCTTTCTGTTATTTTCCCCAAGATGCTTTTGTACACAAATTGAACATTTTGTTTGCAACAGATTTTGCCACATACACCAATTCATAGGAGATGTCATATCTTTGACTGACAGTCATTGGAACGATGTTCATTAATTCATCACATTTCGTCATTAATGTTTACATCATGATCTTATTTAAATATGAAATATTTCAAAGTAAATCAACCATTAATGGCGGACAGTAAATTTATTAAACTAACCACTTGTTCCTTTCAGATCCCAAAATCTGAGACACACTTCATAATTTACTCCACTCGCTTAACTGAATGGCTAATACCTTACATAGAATTACGTTTCAGATTTGTCCTAAAGATAAGATTTGTTCACTGTAAGCTAATACTGATATTTTTATAAAATAAGTTGTGTGAAGTAATGCTGTGAGAGTTTCAATGGAAAGTTTACCACTTCTGTTTTCTATTCCTGAAGCAGATTTCAATTGTCCCATCATGAAAATTGTTTTAAATATAATTCATATTTATCATTGAGTTAATGTGCTTAAGAATGAGTATCTAAAATTAGTTCCCTTGCAAAAAGATTTGATATTAAATATTCTCCAGCGGGGAAGCGGGGGAAGACGTTCCTAGCAAAAACGTGCACTACTTACGGGACTATTGACCTTGGTTGAGGCGCCCGGAATCCCAATCAATCCGAAAGATCACACACTAATTTTTCGTCTCTCAGAACACTTATTTTTCAACTTCTCTTTTTTGAGAGTTTTGAATCCCAGAATACATTAGCGTCCTAATTTCAAACATAAAGTTTACTAGAATGTTTACGCAAATTAATTTCAAATTTAATTTAAGACAAACGTACTTTACAAATATGTATTAGCTACATTTAGGTTCAAAATATATGGGCAGGCATTGTATGGGCTCGAATTTGAGATTTGGTCGTAGAAATCATGTTTAGTTCGTACTTCTTTATGGACCCTGCTAGAAATGTTTAGATAAAATATGCATAGTAGCACATACAGTAATTATTTTAAAACAATGCGTCAAATAGTGTCTACAAAATAATTTCTTGAAACTCTGAAAAATTTCCAAACCTCTAAAAAAATAATTAAAAATATCACGAAATTCCTTTTCACTTCAAACAAAATTAAAGTTTCTTCCCGTTTTCTATTTATTTTATTACCGTTAGTTTTACATTTTCTTAGTTTCAGTATTTCTGCAGCAACATTAGCAACACTTGAGCAGTAAACATTTCAACTAGCAATACATCACCAGTAACGTTTTTTTTAATTGATGAATTTTTAGTGCAGCCTACTTCTTTATTACAGTAATTGCAGTAAATTACATTTCCCTCCGTCCTCCAGACAATTTTTGTTTCCAATACTTTGAGAAGTGTTGCACACGAAGCCTTATAATAAGAAGCCATTTGATACTTAACTTCACAATTAAGAAATTTGTCTTCATTCTCTGTTGCACGCATGCAGACTGAGATCTTGCTATTGATTATTTTCCTCTGCCATCGTCAATTATCAACGGATATTGAGATTTGGCTTCGGGTATCTTCCGAATTCTTTGTAACGTATCATAAGGCGTTTATAATTCATTTCACCATTGTTGCACCCAGAGGTGGATTTACGCAGTCACAGTAGGCACGTGCCTGCGGCGGCAAATTTTCAAAGGCGCAAAATTTTCTTGAAATTTTCTAAAACAAATTTAGGTTCTCTAAAAACTGTAACAGCATAAATCATATTTTTATTTGAAAAATGATTTAAACGAGACTAAAGCCGCCCCTCAACCTTTGATTTTTAAATTAAGTTTGAATTGCAAATGGGGACATTTTCAATGTTACAGAATACATGAAAAGAATTCGCCAACGACTTCTGATTGGTTGATTGAGCAGAAAGAATTACATTCTTAGAGTAAGGAGTTTGAATTAGCCAATCCGAAACCGCTGACGGATTTCGCCATGCATTCGTATTGCGCTATAAAGAAAGTAGCGACGTCTATTACTTCTTGAGTTAGTTCTAGCAGACGGATCTGGAAAAACCCTTTTCTGTCATTTGTTACTATTGTTGTGTATCGTTTATTGTAAGAGCCTGCTGAGTAAAACTTATATTTTGAAGTTTTAAAATGAGTGATTATCGAAAAAAGCTCAATGGAAGTCAATATGCAACAATTCGAAAAGAAAACAAAGAGAAATGTCAAAATTAAGACAAAAAAAATAAATGAATTCTTTAAACCTATATGTGAAACTGATCGCTGCTGCAGTTCATTCAACAATTCTATAACTGAGTTTGTATAAACATATAGATTAGATAACATATTTAGTTTTCTGCTTGTATATTTTTTCTACGTACTAATAACATGTGATAAATAAATGTTAACATTAATGTATTTTTAGTGCAGAGTTGTGTTGCTAAAATATTCTCAAAATGCAAAAAATGTTTAGTACAATGAGAGGAATTAAATATTCTTGACGTGTTGTTGTATTCGTTAAAATGAACAATATCTTAATATAGAATTTAAATAAATTAGCATAAAATATGTTACTATAATTATGTTACTAAACTTTATTTTATATAATATGTAATAATACATATAATATATTGACTGGCAAAATGTTTTAGATGCCCTTCAAATTATATCTGATGATTCTACGCAAAAACCGTCAACGCGTGCGGAAGCTAAAGGTCTTATTATTGTTTTAAATCGACTTGAAACTGCTATTATGACCGAGGTTTGGGGATTCATTTTAGACCGCTTGAATGCGTCGAAAAAACAACTGCAAAAAGTCGATAGCGATTTAAGTTCCGTGGTTGGTATTTACACTTCGCTTGTAAAACTTTTAAAAACGAAGAGACAATTTTGAAATTTTTAAGAGAAGGGTAAGAAGCTATCAAATACTGAAATGTACGAATCGGAAAACAAGAGAAAAGGAAACGTAAAATGCAATGTGATGAAACTAACGAGAATGCAGCAGAACTTGGCCGCAGGAGACAAGTTTAAAATCGACACTTATTTGGTTATTATTGATAAATTACTTGCAGAATTGAATAAGAGACTTGAACCGTATAAAGATGCACATGACAAATTTAAGGCTGTCATTGAAATAGAAAAATTATCTTTGACAGATTTGGAAAAAGCAGCGATATTTTTATGTTCACAATTTCTCCAATATCTTGAAGAATCGCTTGTTTCTGAGCTTATACATTTAAGTTCGTATTTAAAAATCATTGACGAAGATGTTAAGCCAACGAATCCTGCAGATTTATTAAAGTGGTTACGGAAAGAAGAATTAGAATGTATTTATCCTAACGTTGACATTGCACTAAGAATCTTTTTATGTTTTCTGGTGGCCAATTGCACAGCAACACGTTCATTCTCTTGGTTAAAAAGGATTAAAAATTATTTGCATTCTACAATGACAGAGTATCGACTGAACTCCTTAGCGTTATTGTGAATTGAAAATTATCTCAGCGTTTTAGATAATACTGTAATTATTTATGAATTTGCTCACCAAAAGGCACGTCGCAAAAATTTTACATCAATAAACAAATTAGCTATAATTAATAAAACGTTATTTCAACTATAAAAAACCCATCCAAAAAGTTAAAAGTTATATTCCTTGTTTATAATGGTAAATCGAAAATTATAAAAACTGTTACAACGTTGTAATATTCTAATCGTTCAGTTGTTGTAAATAAAAATCTATCATATTAATTTTTAATACAAGCTATTTATTTGTATACTTCATTAGAGTATACCTTATGATTTCAGAAGTATATGAATCTGAAAGTAAGGCCCGTTGAGGAAAGAAAACATGTTGCAATTCTAGTTGTCATTTTTTAGTTTCCTTTTAATGTTAACGTTTCAGTATTGAAACGTTAATAATGTTGAAAGTTACTCGCTATGGAGATACAGTTTATATCCAAAATTAGCTAATCCAAAAAAAAATATTTTATTTATGAAAACAATGGGCAAAATGTAATGTTGCTTTCAAAGTTAAAACGTTCAAATTAATGAGGAATTGTTACTAAACGTTACAATTTGAAATGTAACATTAATTTTAAACAGGGAGCGGCAGATTTGATAGGCGGCAGGCTACAGGCGGCGAAAATATTAATCCGCCTCTGGTTGCACCTCGCACGTGTAGTCGTGTCGCAAATCCAAGAAGAATACCAGAAGGTTAAAATCAGTAGTATAACATTAAGCAGCAGAGACAATTGCATGTTCTCAGGATCTATGATCAATATCCTATTTATGCAAAATATTTGTCAGTTATAATATTCATTAATAATGCAGAGAAGTAATAAGAAAATAGTTAATATACTAGATGAAAGTCTAAATATGCAGTATTAATTTTAAAATCGTCCAAACTTGCATTATGAATGAATTTCTCAAACATCTACCAGAACATGCAAACATGCACGGAAAGTATGCGTTTTAAACGGGTTTGTCATGAAACATTTATTTACAAAGTTTGAAATCTCTACGACACTTAATAAAATCATGCATTTTCACGGTGCCGAGGATGCAAAATATTGCTTAAATGAATTGGCAGAGCATTGACAGAAACTGCAACAAAACATTTCGTGCAGCGCCATCTGTGTCCCTCGTCAGCCCAGAGAGAGGTCTGGACAAAAAGCGACACATAATTGACAAAGATTATTACTTTGCCGTAGGAATCAATGAGTATTGCAGATATTGTCATGGTTACCTCTGCTTGGACGAATACAAGTTCTCCTTACGAATTTCACGTTATTCATGCTTTCTGTTTTTTCGCTCCACGTCTCAGAGCGCTGCTTCAAAAAAACTACACAAAAACTACTTGCTGCCAACGTACCACAAACTTTCAATGCGCCCCATATGCGTATTGGTTAGCTCCTCGGCACGATCGCACCGCCTCTGATTTTCAAACAATGCGA